TCAGTCCCACTATTAGTCGATCTATGTTGCAAGTTGCTAAACGCTGACCGTATGTATAATACAAATAGGATATGTTTAACAGTAGAATCCAGGATGCTCGTTCTGTCTCATTTGGATCTCGTCAGCAGAATGTGCCTGTATCTTGAACTTGGTGTTCACCCCGAGGCATAGAGTCAGTACTGTTCATTTTAAACGCCAACGCATTATATATATATATATATATATCCACTGACTTATACAACTGATACAATACTGACTCAATAAAATCAATACAAATGGTTTCTTATTACAAGGACGACCTAATATTTTTCAAGTTCACTCTATTTACTAACAGCAAGTGCTGGTGGGCGGCCTATGCTCCTCCACGAGGAGTGACAGGTGTAAGTAAGTAATTCTATTTACTAAGTCCACGTCTTAACCAATAGCTTCAAAGATTTCGGTTAATTGATAACACCATTATAAAATAAAAAGATAAATGACACTATTTGGATCTCATAGCTGTTATACAAAACTCAATTTTGTAAAGAACATGTAATCTTTGAACAGAATACAACATCTTGTTAATTTTAGTTGGAACGTAGCGATATGTACAGCGTGAATTAAATAAGTTCTTTAATTGGAATTTATAAGTATCAGAAACAAAGTCAAATGAATGAAAAATGGTAAGTGGTAATGACAGTTGAGTGTAAAAATTAGCAATACTCTATTCTTCTGCCATCGAAGACAATAGGAGAAATGCTAGATGTTAGCGCGATGTTTGAGAAAAAACGTCTGTCGTAAATAAGTAAATGCAAACATTAAATTGAGAAAAAATTCCCGCCTTATTTTTACACTTATACCGGCTTGAACTCTTTAAGAAGATTGAGGGCAAGATTAGTCACGATTTTATGTTACTATAAATTTTAAAGTTATTTATCAACTAAGTGACTGTCTCGGGGAGATTCGATTTTCATTTCCACCACTAAATTACTTTTAAACTAATAACCAATTGAAAGCCTAATACGCTATTGGAAAGCTCATCAAACCTGAAATATCTCATATTTATTCCCAGAATCAAAAATTTACAATGAACGGACATTTAATACTTTATATGTTGCTCAACCCAGCTGCTAATATTCTGTATATCCATCAATTTCATTTTTACGATCAACTGTTGACACACTGCATTCTAAATTACTTCGCTAATAAAGGATCACTATATATATATATATTCCAAAAACATAACACAATACTTAAATTTATGGATAACATTCATGTGCAAGTTGAGTTTGGTAGTTTTCTTTATACTTTTACATTTCGCTTTTCTGAATTAACTGTCCTCCATTAAACGATGAAACAAAGTTAAAAAATGAGCCGTTTGTTTATAGAGTTGTGTACTTTTTCAGGGAAACTGAAGGAATGCAGTTATATTTATATTACACAGGAACTGTGATATTGATAAGAGTCTCAAGAAACCGAATTTAGACTACGTCTTATGTCGCCTAGTCTTAGAAATAATACTCAAGAATGCTCATTACATAAAATTAACTGGTATTAGTTATGAATACCACATTTCAAGTTTTTTATCAGTTCTTCTAAAATTAAAAGAAAGAGTCCAAAAACTGGCATTTAACGTAATCCACTTTTGCTATGTTTCACAGTTTACACTGGAATACAAATAATGCCAAACTTCCCACAGTAAATGTTAGCAAACTGTTAAAGTATAATCAGAATATTTAAGTAATTACAGGTGATATTATAAATACTAGATGTAATGATTTTAAACCTAGGAATTGTCAAAATAATCTTTTTAAATATAGATTCCAGAGTGATAAGATTTTACCGTATATATCGTAAGAGTCACACGCGCCAAAATTTAAGAGACAGATTACAATTCGATGTAATTTCTACAGGATTTGAGACAGGCATTAAAAACCTAATAGATATGGTGAAGTATTTTAAGTTTTTAAAAGTATATGACTTGATAGTTATCTTACTATGATTCTTTATAAACACCAAAATGACTGAATGTTTAGTACATTTCCTAAATGTTTTATCAACTATAACTGTTATCTGACATATGCATAGTTTAATCAATTTTAAAAAATTTTGAAGTGACGAAAATGTTTTATCATGTATTTGGTCTAGAAATATAAAAATAGGGATTTGATAACTCATCGTCACCAGATTAAAACAACTGCTATGACCGTCTAACCATTAAGAAGTGTTATTTGTGTTGCTTCCTCTAAATGGCATGAAAGAGACGAATTTTTCAACAATAAAAAATATGGTTTACGGGGTCAGTCAATAACGCTTAAGAATTCTACCTACTGTTCAAAATAATTCACATGCAACCATGGATAAAACTGCACGCTAAATATAGTATTTATATGTTTAATTTAAACTTTTTGATAGTCTTTCCACCCAGAAAATATTTCAAAACTGGAATGTTTTTAGAACTGGGCTGAAAATCAAAAGTTTAGTTGAAATTACGTATTCAGAAACTATCAAAAATATGTGTTGGTACTGTTCCGCTTTTTAAAAATAAACAAAATTGATATGCTACTTTGTACTATCATTTTGTGTAGTGTAGTGACTAGTTGAGCTATTAGTCTCTATGTCTGCGAATAATGTCAAGGTACATCAAGCCATATACTGTGATACTTGGGGGTGTTAGACATAGTGAGATAACAGATGTTCTCTTCAACTCCTTGTCGGTGAAACTGTTATAATAAGTATAGGTCTCAATAATTCATATAAAGGAATAAATGAGTAACAAAATACTTCCATTTATATAAGCTAAGAAATGTCGGAATTGGAGGCAATCTATTGATGTGGATAAAAGACTTCCTAGTTGAGCGCCAACAAAGAGTACGGGTGAACTCAAAGTTATCCAGCTGGGAAACTGTGCTTAGTGGAGTGCCCCAGGGTACAGGTTCGTGGCCAGTGCTATTTTTCTTGTATGGAAATGACCTTCCTCGTCTCCTATCATCAACGGCCTTGCTATATGCTGACGATGTCAATATATGAAGAAGGATACGATGTAAGAGTGATAGCTTAAAACTCTAAAACGACCTGAAGAAATTATCTGAATGGTCTCAAACCTGGCAGTTGCCGATAAATACTTTCAAGTGTGTTGTGATGCATATTGGCCATGGAGGTACAGATGAATACACGATGAATAACACTGAGATACCGGTTGTCCAGATACACAATGACTTAAGAGTCATTGTTAGCCAAGACTTAAAGACTACTGCACACTAATGCACACCCATACATAGTATGTCGGATAGAATAGTATTACAGGACGATCTTAGCTCATTGGTGGCATGGTTAGACAGGTGGTCACTAGAAGTAAATCCTAATAAGAGTGTAGTGATGCAGTTAAATAACTCTGATGAATCGTCTGACTATACACTACGTGGATTCGTGCTACCCAAAGCAAGAAACTATAAAGATTTAGGAGTCATATTAAGCAATGATCTCGAAACCACTAGTCACTGTAAGGCTGCTGCTGCAAAAGGCTATAGGGTATTATGGTCAATTCGTAGGTCTTTTCAGTATTTAGATGATGAAATGTTTGGATTACTATACCCGATTTATGTGCGACCACATTTAGAATACGGGATTCAAGCAGCGTATCCTTGTTTCAAGTATGAAGCAGATATGCTAGAAAGAGTCCAACGACGAGCTACTAAGATGGTACAAGGTCTATCTGGCCTATCTTATGAAGACAGACTGAGACACCTTAACTTATTTCCGTTATCTTACCGCAGAATACGGGGTGATCTAATATTGGCCTATCGTATACTGAACGATGACCTTGGTAATAATATGTCTTATCTTTTGCTTCCGTCTAAAACCGATCATTTGAGAGGACATTCGAAGAAAGTTCAAAAACCGAGATCAAACCGTTTACGTCTAGTGTTCCTTTTCTCGCACCGATTAGTGAATTACTGGAATTCTCTACCGGAACACGTTATATCAGCACCGTCTGTTAATATATTCAAAACGAGGTTGGACCTCCACAGTATTACAAACTGCAAGGACTAATATAGGTCGATAGACCTCCTATCCTTATAACTGAAGACTGAAGACACTGCCACGTAATAGCCGCCAAAGGTTTTAGAACTTTACAGTCAATACGTAGGGCTTTTAGTCATGTCAACGCTAAAGAGTTTTTGACTTTGTATACATTGTTCGTACGTCCTAAACTTGAGTACTGCATACAAGCGGCTAGCCCCTGCTTAAAAAAAGAGTGAGCTATTGGAAAAGATTAAGAGAACAGCAACTAAGCTGATCCCCAGAATAGCGAAGCTTTCGTATGATACTCGACTGGCCAAGCTAAATTTATTTCCGTTGTCGTATAGTAGAACTAGAGGCGACTTGATTACAGTTTTCACATTCCTTGTGATAAATTTTCACTGGAAATCAATCTATCAGGATTGTTGTTAATATGCTAGAGACTTAGCCAAAGATTTAACCTGAAGTTTTATGATGAGATAAGTGGTGAATTCATGAGTTAAATCTCATAGCTTAGCTAATAGGATCAACAAGGATATGGGTATGGGATTTCTCATATAAATGTAAACGAATTACGCGTCGTACAAATTAATGATAGAACATCACAGAGACTGAGTACCCACCAACCTTGTCTTCTTGATCATTTGTGCTAATGTCTTTCACCATTAATTTCATTTTTCTACCTGACTTTTCATGATTACTAAATTTCGTTATTCAGTTATTTCATCTCGTCACTTTTCAATAGAAAAACGTTGAAATATTATTGAACCCTAGAATAGTGAAATTCACATTTTCAGAGCAAAATTTCGTAGTTTGAAATCAGCAATTCTGGAAACTACTGCCGGGTAACTTTAAGATTGTTCCATATGGGTGATAAGTAATAAAAATGGTTCACGTATTAGATAAACTTACACTGAATTATTACCATGAGTGACGGAATGTTCCATTTTTAAAAGAATGAGAGAAAACGTAGTGTTACTCCAAAACATAAAACTCACCATTCATTGTAAAGCAACAAACATGCGTGTTAGCGGAAATACGTAGTAATTTGATAATAAGCGCTTGTGATAAATGTTTATAAGACCGATTCAAGTTTCAGTTGTCTCAGCGTCGTTGTATTTACCATGTAAAGAACTTTCCTACTTGGACTCTTCAGTAACAAATATAGTTGGTTAGTTTTGGTCTTTTCAGTATTTATTTCTCTGAAGATTCAACTTCTGATTGAAAACGCTTACTGACAGGACGGATACTACTTGCTTATATTCGGTGTTCTTTAATTGATCACTCGATGAAAAGGCGAAGTCGTGTTTTAATCCTGTACTATTTTGATATTTATACTTCTGGGTCAGGATTGAAGACTTATATTCGCAAAAGCAAGTGGATGATAAAATATGTTGTCAACCATGGCATTATTCAGGAGGTGGGTCGTTTATACGAAATAACTTTAAGCACTATGATAATCTGACTAAAATGGATCTCGTGATAATAATCTCTTCTCATAGAAGGATATGCATAGTCCAGTTTCGAACCTCCTCTCACAGGCAGTAGAGATTATAGTGATTGTTATTTAGTGCTACACTGTTGTTGAAAATTAGTCAGATCAACTGACTCTTGAAAAATCCGCTACTTCGTCTAATTCCACATGGCCCATCAAGCTATCAGTGTCATTGCGTATTGTCTTTGGAATTTTTAGTGTCCAGAGGACCTAAAATCTTTTGAAATTCTTGTAACATGTAAGATCAACTAAATTGATATCTTAGGTTAACCTACGCTTTATGAGTTAACATTCTGCTGGTGTTGCGCTCACTCATACAATGTGATCTCGTTTGGATAGGAACCCTTTAATCTTGATGTCTGTTTTACTTCTGTTGTTTGAGTTTGAAATTTTTTACGTACGTTATGTGTCTCACACTGTCGAATCGTACACACGATCAATAGTTTCAGCATCATCATGAGGACCGTAGTGTTGCGTTCTGACGCTCTACCCTTTTGCCACAATGTTTACTGTCAGGAAAGAGTCGACTATGGGAAAACCATGCAGTTTAAGGTTAGCGGAGCTTGTGACTTTACATAAGTAGGCAGCATCTCAGAAATGAAAAATTTCGAACTTTTACTACTTATTCAGTCCTACTTATGTGTCGCTCGTGAGATCTATCTTCATGGTCATCAGCCTGAACATTCAGTACATCTGTAGAACTATGGTCTACTATAATATTAGTACTGCTCTAATAATAGACCTAATCCTAAACTTGTCGATTTGCCATGATATAACTGCCTAATCTATAAGATCTTACGTGGAAGTCACACCATCGACTACACCAACTCACTGTATCGTATCAATTACCAATACATGATGAGGAAGAATGTTAGGCTGGAGAAAGAACAATATATTTAATATGAATAGAGACCACGCCTGCATGGCCGAGCCATGCCACTCGATCAACTCCAGTCAATTCAATTCATTCTTCGCGCCTTCTCCATTGTTGGGTATTTCCCCGAGTTAAATATTGAATATCTATTTTCTGAGTAGTCTCGTGTTCACAGCTTTGTGGATTGTGTGGCTATTGTCCAATGCCACTACACTACTCTCCCACCAGAATCAACGTGATGTTGGTTCGATACCAAATTGGATGGGATCGTCGTGCGCCGAAGGTTACCAAGACTAGGAAGAATCCCCCGGGTAATGATAAGCTGAAAGATAAATCAAAAAGAAAGGCGGCAGCATCTGGTCGGGAAATACATGTAATAATTTTTTTTAAAATCTGCCTTCATGCTTAACACACTTAAAATGACAATTTGGGTGAAGATTATTTGAGCTATAAAAAAAAATGGGATTACAATAATAATAATAATAAAACAATGCGTGTTAATAGCCGTTGGTTAATAACTTGACGTATAGGTAGTAAGTATTTTGTGTTTAGAAATATTAAAGTAATGAATATTGTAGAAATGTTAATATTGGTATTAGTTTTGGTTTAAATTATGAAACCAATTAACAATTATGCTGGTAACCCGTCCATAAGTGATTTCCAATTGCATCTGTATTAGTAGGCTAACTGGGAGAACAAAAGTATTACCATGGAAAAGAATTCCAACTAGTGTTCCAGTTAGTTTGATACGGTTTATTTAGTTACGGGGAGATTTTCTCAACCTCATTTTTACTTGACCGTGATAGAATTTATTAATACTACTAATACACATGAATGGTTATCAAAACAATATTTAAATACGTGAGTGATAATTATGTGAATTTTGGACAGATAGCTAGAAGCAAATCGTTAAAAATGAGTGTATTCGTAAGAGACATGCTCTAAACTCAATGTTTTGAGTTGCCATAGACTATTTATACATATTTATACCTGACGGCTGATGATGCATACAAGTTAGTTGCAAGTATGCAGTTTATCATAAGGCGGAATACGATTTAATTGAGATATAGTGGTTATAAGTTATTGAAATCAGTTAAGCCTATGTGTCATATTACGAAGTGATGTGGTGCTGCAAGATGTATTTAGCTAAATATGTTTTTACCAGATGATTAATAGTGAGTGATGCTCATGTGATTATCAGGGAGAACATAAGTTGTAACCAAGGGGAGTACACTCCCAACTCACGTCTATGATAATGGCTTGAACCTTAGTCAGTGTTGGGGTAAATTCGACATTGATGTTTTCAGTTTGCAGGAGATTTGCTCGACTGCTTATACTGATTATTTGCATGCATGATTGTGTCGCTAAACCTCCAATTAGACTGACAAGGTTTTGAGATATTTACTGAATGAGCAACTGATAGAGAAACATACTGTAATCATCTGTGATGGATGAAGATACCAAGAAAACAACACCATTTAATGGTAATTATAAGTCAATTTGTTGACCGATTTCGTTAATAGTTTCATTAATTTTATCAGTCATATTACGTGATTGTCAAGTTATGACAATGCTTTATGACGATATCCTGAAACTATTAAATTTAACTAGTTATAGTGTTGATTAAGGATTAGTCAGTGCAAAAATAGGTATTGTTGCTTTAGGTGATTCAAAATCATCAGATATTTACAACGTTAAAGAATCCGAGACGCCTAATTTAATTATAAATTTCAATTCAGAAGCATTCGTTTAGTGTTCATTCTAGTAGGCTACGGAGTTTTGATTTTAAACGTTTGTTTAGCCAACAGCTACTTGGGGATTTAGTTATTTCACTAGTGCAGTTGACAGTACCTAAATTTTTAATCTTATTATCTAAACTATGTTCGCATTTTAGGCTGCTAATATGATAAACCAATCCATAAACCCAAATACGATTAGCAACAACGACTATGATGGGTTTATCGATAAATGTTATAGGCGATTCAGATGATTTCTAAATTCAAAAGATATGAAGATATAGTGTAATGTATGTACGGGCCATGTTAACATGCAGGTTGTTGACGTATATAAAAATTTAAAAATAATGAACATGACCAGGAAAAGTAATTTTAAAGTCAAGACTGCTTATGAAACTTGAGGCAGGAATGTAACGCGTTATAAACATTCCATGAGAAGTTACGACATTTAGCCTAGGGACACTTACAAATAAGTGGCAAAAGCAACTGAAAAACATATACATGTTAAGTACAAAAAAAAATCATCCAGTAAAAATAGTTGAACTCGCCTGGGTTATTTTTGAAAATTAGATTATTCAGTGGACGACATATATAACGCCATTCGTGAGGAGTAGTAATGATCCAAAAGCATCCAGAATAAAACATACAGTATGGCAATCACTTCCAGGGTGCTTGATGCTGTTGAGGTCTTTGGGACTCGCTCTGATCAGAACTGAATGAATCCAGATAATTGTGTGTGCCATCTAAAATGAACTTATGATTGCAGAAAACTTATAGCTGGAACTCACCGTATGTTTTTGGAGTAGTCATCCTCGTTGTTTGGCAATGGAACTCGAGAATATGAAATTAGGCAGGCAGTGGTCAGAAGAAAAGATATTACAGGATAGTGCATCGTTTAAAACAGGATGAGGTGTTAAGTGAAGGAACACTGAGAATTAGATCCAGATAACTATTTAGTCCTTGATCGCATTGTTAGTCAATGTATATTTACGCTATTTACAGGTCATATTTGCTGGAGCTTGATGTTTAAACAAGACTATGTCGCTGAAGCATGTAAATGCTATTACAGCTTGTTAACAAATCATCAAAGTTAATTAGTTAATATAGACGACCAGTTTTTATTATCGATTGAGCTAGTTTGTCATGAGGACTAATCAATATAACATTACGATAATGCATGTGAGCATTAATCAGAGGACTATTGGAATACAGGGTTAACATAAATATAAAATCGATCGAGAAAGTTGAAGTGGAAATAAGGATTAATAATAATAGGTTGCGTTTCTTTAGTTGGGCTCACCAATGTAGAACTATGGTCTACTATGATATTAGTACTGCTCTAATAATAGACCTAATCCTAAACTTGTCGATTTGCCATGATATAACTGCCTAATCTATAAGATCTTACGTGGAAGTCACACCATCGACTACACCAACTCACTGTATCGTATCAATTACCAATACATGATGAGGAAGAATGTTAGGCTGGAGAAAGAACAATATATTTAATATGAATAGAGACCACGCCTGCATGGCCGAGCCATGCCACTCGATCAACTCCAGTCAATTCAATTCATTCTTCGCGCCTTCTCCATTGTTGGGTATTTCCCCGAGTTAAATATTGAATATCTATTTTCTGAGTAGTCTCGTGTTCACAGCTTTGTGGATTGTGTGGCTATTGTCCAATGCCACTACACATCTTCTCACCTTTGAGGTCCTAGTTTTAGGAAGATATGTACTTGTCTGAAAGTGCTTCTTCATGTATCTGAAAAATTATTCGTATTCTTCAGTAACTGAGATCCTATATCAAATATCAAAGACTGAATGGGAGAGGTTTAAGTTGATCCAATAACGCTAGTGACTGATCGGTTTGAAAGATTCCTCAGAGCTTCGGAGAAAGTAAGAGCCACAGCCCAGGAAGTCTGAAAGTTCCGTTTCAACCCAATTTTATTAATTGGTCTTTTCTCCATGAGATATATGCACGCGCGCGCTACGGACGTGACGTTACTTTCAGGCCGAGGTTTTTAGTTTTATTTTTCTAGGATTCTCGCAGAGCTGGATGAATTATTTTTTCTTGGAATTATAG